CTCTCTCTCTCTCTCTCTCTCTCTCTCTCTCTCTCTCTCTTTCTCTCTCTCTCTCTCTCTCTTTCTCTCTCTCTCTCTCGCTCTTTCTCTCTCTCTCTCTCTCTCTCTCTCTCTCTCTCTCTCTCTCTCTCTCTCTCTCTCTCTCTCTCTCTCTCTCTCTCTCTCTCTCTCTCTCTCTCTCTCTCTTTCTCCATCCATCCATCTTGAAAGAAAACACCAAAGGCAGGTAGAAAAATTGAATTCCAGTACCTTATATGAACTAGTCTATATCCACCCTTTTCTAAATGAAGCCAACCCAGTGTCGCTCGCCGTCAGACTTGTGCTAGCGACCTCATGTTTATTCCAGGGAGAAGAGCAAAGCAAAACAGAAGAATTCTCGATAAAAAAGGGAAGGGCAGAGGGTTAGTGTATACACTGGCATGATAATGAGGCGTCTGATTGCAATATTACAACGTTGGGTCCAGAAACTCGAGTCAGGTTTTGCGATCGCTTTTATATATTTCCCATGACTGATGTCTTGGTGTCACAGCTGTTTCTGGAGGAGAAGGTCATAAAGCTTTTGTAACGGCGTTGACGTGAGCGGTATAATCATGGCGCTTCCAGATGATGTTTAGGACTCTCACACGCACTTTCGTGATGACATTTTTTTTGTCTGTGAGTTAGTGAGGTCATTCTGCAGCTGAAGTTTCCAGAGTTGAATGAGGAGGACAAGAGAATAGTTGGTATTCTTACGAGCGAGCTTTTTGGGGAAGCTTAAGAACGAATAAAGGTGATTGAGCTGACCTTTAAGGACAAGGGGATCAATATTTACAAGGTCATGATGACTCTAAGGTAAGCCCGAGCGAGATGAAGGCGAGTCAGGGATTGCAAGGGTTATCGTTAGCTTCAGCAATCTGTGATGCTGTCTTCTCTGTCTTCCTCGTTGCTGATATTCACTCTCCATAAGCTTTACAAAAAAAAAGCAATATGGTGCTACCAAAGGTGACACCGAGTCCCACGAGTGTGTTGTTTCTTGTACATATTTTGAGGGCGAGTTTCTTGAAAAAGAGCATAATGTTATGTGCATGCGTTAGGGTGGGAAGGTATCTCGCATGTGTTGAGGACCTGATAATATATTGTACATTAACATATTTATAAAGTGTCTTGAGGTCTCACGTCAGCGGGCGTTTTAGAACCATCTTGACTGCCTCGGAAACTTTACCGTCTTTATATGTCGTTCTTTTTCTCCTTATGATAACGTAAGAGGAAACAAGTACAATGCGATGCTATTAACTCTCCACCCTAGAAAGGAATGCAATCTATCTGCATCCCTTAACTGCAGATTAATCACCTTATGTTTCGCTTTTATTACGTAACGAGACAAAGGTGTAGGAGAACGTCCGTGCTGTATTCGAGATCGCATCCATCACCGCGAAAGGCCAAGAGATAAGAGATGCTGCACACATTCAGGTTGCTCATGCTGTCTCCACATTATCTTACCCGTAAATCGAGCAATAAACGCCGTCTTATCCACTCCGGAGCAACCCCTCCCCCCTCTCCGCTCCCCTCCTCTCTTTACTCCCTGTGCTGCGGTGGAAGGAGGGGGGGGGCATGGAGGGAGTAGGGGGTAGGGGAAGAGGCTCCTCCAGATGCTGCAGTGTGTAAAAGCAATATTGCCTAACGCTGGTATGACATCGTGCTTAAAATCCTTATTTGCGTTTCGTATATCGCGAATCACGTATGATACATGGAAACGTGTTATTTGGCTTTTTTCGTTTCTACGAGAAAGGATAATTGTTATTTTATATTTCGGAGGGCTTTTGCTGTCAGTGCGCGAGTTCAGCGGTTGAAGAAGGATGTCATCTTTTCATATCCCCTTTGAACTATTGAATCGCCCCCTTTAACCAAAATGAAATGTTTAGACAAATTTCCTATCATTGTTGTTTATTTGCACGCATAGACTAGAAATGAGTTACCAAAAAAAAATCTTTAAAAAAAACAAACAGATCCAGTGAATGATTTCTCTTTTCAGATAAAAGAAGCCAATACTAATGGATCGTTTATGACACATCACCATTGACCACGTGTTTCTTGGAACTTGTCGGTGATACTGCGGGACATATAAACACCCCCTCCCCCCTTCGCTATACCGTTAAGTCAAGGCAGAAAGATGAGAGTGAGTCACCAGATCATATGACTGACGACTGATCAGAAACCTTTTGTAAAAAAAATCAAATAAAACAAAAAAACAAACTCACTTTTGATAGATATAAACGCATGAGCCGATTAGTGAACGGAAAGAGTAACGAGTGCCATGGAGTGCCCCAAGAAGGAAGAGTTAACAGCTAGAAAAGTCATTTACTGAACGTGACAGCAATCTCTAGTTTCTGATGACTGACAGTGACAGATAACGTGAAACTTGATTCGCAAGTATAAGTCATTAAAAGGTAAAAAATACAACCAATAAGATACTTCAAGTAGACTTCCCCCCAAAAGGAGCTCCGGAGACACGACAGAGAAGAAAACAAAGCTCTGGTCGGCTCACATTCACGCTCACATTCACGCACACTCACAAACCCAAACTTCACTTTCCTCCCACACACGTCTCCACGCACACTGACGGTCTCACAACTTCGCCGTGCCAGTTTCCATATATATTAGCCATTTTTCTGGTCACATAAAGCTCCTGTAAATAACTTCTAACGTTGCCTTGATTTGAAGTTTGAGATCATCGAAGTTAACTCTTTTGAGACTACTTTTTCTGAGATATTTAATCTCGAACAAAATTTGTTGTAATGTAAATTTCATTAAAGATCGCTACAGAGACATTTTTATTTTGGTGCAGGTTTATCGTCTACCGACATTTCTCTTGCTCATCCTGAATAACTAAATTCATACTAAAGCATATGAGTGAAATCTCCCTTAACCTTTTAACTATTTGCTTCCTGTTTTTTAATTCAAATCTCTTGGAATGACGTAAGCACTGACACATTGCCCTTGGTACATTTGCTGCTACTTGACCAAGAGATAAAAAAAAAAATGTTTCTCCAGTGTCTGTATCATTGCTTGCTTGTCCTTTCCACCACGAGAGCATTATGCTAGCACGAGGAAATCCTCATCATAACACACCCCAACACCACCATTACACCCGTAAAGGATCGGTTCCCTAACGCACCATCAAAACATCACTGTCACAGCGACTGCCACAGCAACAGCCAACACAGCCTCTCTATCCCTCCCTCCCTCCCTCCCCCCTCCCCCTCAAAAAAATAAACAACATCCCTTCCCTACCCAGGTCTCCCCCTCCTTCCACCCTAACGACACACACGCAACGGCAACAAACAACAGCAACAACAAACAACAAACAACCTCTCCCTTCCCCCCTTTAAACCTGGCTCAGTAACCTCCCTGAGTATTTTGTAGTGCAAGTGACATACCAAATCAGGCTATATGAAAAAGGTATGCGTCGTATTCCACCTTAGGGCCCCTTGCATGGAGTACCACACGACCAGGAAATCATCATCCTGCTACGAACTGCACGTGATGTTTCGTAAGTATTTCTTCCACTTCTTCTCTGGACGTGACATCTTCAGCCTCTCTCTCTCTCTATCTCTCTCTTTTCTCTTTTTTTTTTCCTATTTCCGTTTTATTCTCCCTTTCTTTCTTTCTGTACATTTTCTGTGTCCTTGTTTGTTGTTGTCTCGTGTGATATTTCCCTTTTGGTGTTGTTCGTTGTTTATTGTATGACGATGTGATTATTTCTCTTTTTCCTTTCTATCTTCCTCTTTCCATGATAAGGCGTTGACAACCGATTGGTAGATGTTGTTCTTTTGATAATTTCCTGATGTTTTCTTGGTGTTTTTTTCTCTCTCTCTCTTTATTTTAGTAGCAACCTTCGACTGCATTTGGGAATGAACATTTATTTGCATATGTTTGGAATTACTCAAAATATTCCCAGATTTTAGGTGGTATATGCGAATGAGATGACATGAGGGTTTCGCACGTACCCATGCATTAGGGAAAATATTACATGTTTCCTATATCTCTCCTCAGTGTGTTCTTATTAGCCTTTAGATCATATTAGCAAATAGTAGTGAATGTGCATGTTTTGATTATATATATTTCTTAATAATCAAAATGTTTAGATGTTAAGGTTAAATACTTTGTTGTGATTTATGCAGAGCCATATACAGACTTGTGTGACTTTGTATGTTATTGATAATAATGATAATGATAATAATGATGATGGTGCAATAGAATATAAGAAATAAGTAGTAGAGTGCAAGACATCATTTCCATATGCATGTCTGAACGTTCCTGATAGGCATGGATGTGTGAGTTTAGGAAAAATAATTTGATGTAAGTCTGTATGTGTGAATGTGTTTTATATGTTAATACATGTGTATCTTTCATATAAAGAATACCGGAGCAAGTGGAAAAAGGTAATTAGGTTATCAGAAAATATGTTTTATGAAGAGGAGGAAAACACAAAAATGCTCCGATAACCCCAAAAAGTACGAAGACTCACGGACTATAAGCCTACGAGAGAAAGTTCGGTCAATCGAGGTAGCCAGCCACTGGAGCTACCAAAGACTAGTAGATTAGACAGGAGTTGAAAAATGACTGTGGGACGAGGAGAAAAGCCGAAGCAGGAGGCAAAGGATAGGAGGAGGTAGGCCAGGGGAAGGGGCGGCTGGGACGAAGCCCTGAAAAGAATGATTTGGCAGGTTTTCTTTTCTTTTCTAGTCCAAAAGACCCGAGGCACAATCTCCTTTTACCTGCCTCATCAGACATCGATGATATGCCGGCCGTGTTTGAATGAAGGGAAGAGAGGCAACCACAATCAGCCTAATGGAACATTAGCCTTGCGCTTGTGCAGTCAACCTCCGTGAAGTTAACTATTATTCAGCGGGATTTTTCCTTCGTGATTTTTTTTTTCCCTTTTATTGTGCTCTTTCGGCTCCTCTTCTTCCTTTAATCCCTCTTTCTTCTTCATCTCTTTCTTTAGATATAGTTCTTTTTCTCATTCTCTCTCTCTCTCTCTCTCTCTCTCTCTCTCTCTCTCTCTCTCTCTCTCTCTCTCTCTCTCTCTCTCTCTCTCTCTCTCTCTCTCTCTCTCTCTCTCTCTCTCTCTCTCTCTCTCTCTCTCTCTCTCCTCTCTTTCCCTCTCTCTCTCCTCTCTCTCCCCTCTCTCACTCTCTCTCACTTCTTTAGATATAGTTCTTTTTCTCATTCTCTCTCTCTCTCTCTCTCTCTCTCTCTCTCTCTCTCTCTCTCTCTCTCTCTCTCTCTCTCTCTCTCTCTCTCTCTCTCTCTCTCTCTCTCTCTCTCTCTCTCTCTCTCTCTCTCTCTCTCTCTCTCTCTCTCTCTCTCTCTCTCTCTCTCTCTCTCTCTCTCTCTCTCTCTCTCTCGCTCTCGCTCTCGCTCTCGCTCTCTCCCCCGTCTCCTTCTCACCCCCTCTCCCTCTCCCCTCCTTCTTCTTCTTCCTCTCCCTCTCCCTCTCCCTCTCCCTCTCCCTCTCCCTCTCCCTCTCCCTCTCCCTCTCCCTCTCTCTTCCTCTCTCTCTCTATATATATGCCTATTTTTACCGCACCTGCTTTATTAAATTTACCTAGTTATCTCTCCATCTCCCATTGCCTCTACATCTCCACCTGTCTTCGCTACCCACCCCAGTATTAACCATCCAAATATAATTCATATAAACCCCCGCCTTCCCCGCCCCCATTCGGCCATCGCGCCTACTCTACGGCCGCCGTGCATTGCAATCAGATAGAGACTCCGTACTAAATCAGGGTTGTGATCCTGCACAGTTTCTTAATCAGGATCCAGGAGCTTCTCGGAGGGGATTCCAAGGGATCTGGCGTGGGATCAGTCGCCTATCCGAGTCTGCTTATGAATGAGACGATTAGGCTTCTCACGCGCCTGATGTAAAGCTCGAGGTGAGAGCCGTGATATCATAGAATCTAAGGCGAAAACCCGCATTTCATTTCATTTACCCGAATCCTTTATGCTTAAGCTGGGCGAGGGGGATTCAGCTCTCTAGCTTTGGCTGCTCTGCAAGGTTGAGGTAAGCGGAGTTGCAAGCGTTTGTTGCACCTTTGGCACGGCTGCAATTCAGGGCTTAGATACACATGCACCGAAGCACTTTGTCAAAATGATGATAGTGTTGCAGGTAATATGGGATTTGTTACGCATAAAATGCAGATAATTATTATCATTATGTTGATAATTTTGAAGAAAACTAACACTGTAATTATGATGTGGTTAGTATTATTTATATATTGTAATGATAATAGCAGTGAAAATTGTAATAATAATAATTACAATGATAATGATGATGAAAAATAGACTATGATGATATTAATAGTGAAATTGATAATAGTGAAAATAATAAATTAATCATGATAACAATGATAATAATAATCATCATTATAATAACAGTAATGGTAAGAATGCAATATCAATAATATTAATAGTAATAATAACTAACAATTGATAATTATGATAATAGTAATGAAATAATAATGGTGATGATGATGATGATGACGATAATGATAATGATAATGATAATGATAATAATAATAATAATAATGATAATAATAATAATAATAATAATAATAATAATAATAATAATAATAATAATAATAACAATAACAATAACAATAATAATAATAATAATAATAATAATAATAATAATAATAATAATAACAATAATAATAATAATAATAATAATAATAAATAATAATAATAATGATGATGATGATGATGATGATAATAATAGTAATAATAACAATAATAATAATAATAATAATAATAATAATAATAAATAACAATAATGATAATAATAATCATAAAGAAATAGTAATAACAATAAAAAAATCATGATACAGGTGACGATGATATTACAACTCCACTGTGTACTTATTAAAGAAATACCAAGAAAGAGAGAGAATGGGAAAAGGGGATGAGAGAGAAAGAGAGAGGAACAAAACAAAAAGACGGGATAAAGTCAAAGAAAGTGGGAAATAGACAGATGAGAGAACCAGACAAGAGATTACCATTTCTTTAACTGTGGTAAAAGTCGTTCGTGTCCTCCCACAAGAACGGCGCAGGAGCATAAGGTATTGTAGTCAAGTAGGAAAAAGCTGGTATTTTAACGAAACCTTTCCAGATTGTGAAGTAGAGTGCAGGAGGAGTATACTCTGAGAATGAGTGTTATTCAGGGCGTGGACTTGAGACATACGTACATGGTGCCAGTATTCAGAGGGTAGGAGAGTTACTGATTTTTCTCTCTACTTTTTTTTTCCTTTTTTTAAAAGTATGATGCTGAGGGTGTGATATACAAATGAGGAGAGAGGTAAATAGGATGAAAATGGTATGAAGGAGGGAAGTGGAGGAGATTAAAAGAAGGGAAGAAGAGAATCGTGAGATAACGAACAATCTGTTAGAAAAGTTATGACCCCCAAAAAAGTTTGTAATGAAAACTGTAAGTAATCAAAGTTTCGTTTCTCTTGAAGGGTGTGATAAGTCATGTTTTATCTCAAGCGTAACCATATTCTCGAAAATATTTTGCAAAAACGAAACCTCTCTCACTCTCTCGCTCTCTCCCTTTCTCTCTTATATTTACGCGTTTATATGAAGCAGTACACAATGGTATTGGTACGGTCAATAGTATTGTTTTCCGTTAGTGCCGCAGATAACACACAGATCTCTTTTGGCCTCATTCTTTGAATTACTATTTTCGCCCGTGTCTCTTTGTGCGCGAGTTTGAGCTACTGCAGTGTGCGTGAATGTGCGTGGTCGTGTTTTTGGTCCGTGTTTTATTTCAGGCGCTGCACAATTTCAGATAGTGTACATTTGTATATATGCATGTTTCCTCTTTGAAACTTTGTGTAAGAGCATGCCTTTTAGCATACTTTTGAGTTTAAATGTTTGTGTTGTATTTAAAGGGTAAGTACATGATATATTTGGATTTGCTTATGGATTTATATGCATGGATTGGAGTTAATTTCGAAACTAGAATTAGCTATACTAGGAAGAGTAAGATGGAGCTGTATAATCATGTTTCTGTTAAATTTATATGTGTACAATATTATTATTACCTTCTCTTTTGCTAGCGATGTACCTGTAACACAGTTATTTCAATTCCTTTAAAGTTAGCGATGTGTGATGCTATATTTTAAACCTATCCCATCAGAAGAAATAAACAGCACCAAACATTGCTGTCTACTTCCTGCAAAGCGAAAGAATCCTGGGGTTAAACAGAAGACGAAAATTCAAGAAAGGAGAGAGAAAGAAAAAAAAAACTTCTAATAGTTCGAGTTCCTTGTACCCTTGATACACATTTATTGGGCCTTGGAGAGTTGGAAGTAATTTGGAAGATTACTTTGAGCAATTTTACACTCTCTATTTGTTTGTCTTTTACTGCTTTAGTTCTCTAACGCTGGTGCAAATGTTAGCAGATTCATCACCGGGTGACCTTATCTGCGGAGAATACCCGGCTGTAAACGATATGCCTTGACACGCGCGGGTTTTGTGTGCGGTGTAAATCGCCAGAGGATTCTTTCGCGAAAGCTAGTGGATGTGATTTGGATGCGTACATGTATATTTGTTTATATACGCATATATGTATAAGGATGTGTGAGTGTGCATATATATATATATATATATATATATATATATATATATATATATATATATATATATATATATATATATATATATATATATATATATATATATATATATATATATATATATATATATATATATATATATATATATATATATATATATATATTTATAAATTTATATATGCATATGTATATGTATATGTATATATATATACACACAATCACAATGCACTATTGTCTTACAGCTGCAATTTATATATATATTGTATATTTCAACAGTCATTCAATATAACTTTTTAAATTTGAAGGTTCTAGTTGAATTAGAAGTGTTTAGATAATTTTAGAACAATAGTTTGAAACAGAATAAGGATAACAATAAGAGAGAGGATTACTTTTACTCCAAGGATAAAGCATTTGTGTGCGTAATTTCGATTCTCAGTACAGGAATTTCATATTTGCACTTCAAAAATCCTAGACTACATTCACGTAAATGGAATATAAGTTAGACATGTATAGAGTGACTACGAACGCGAGAGCCATTCTCACAAACTGACTGACTCGCTCTCTCTACAGCTAACCCCGAGGGCCCTGGATGCTGCGCAATCGTCCTTACTATCATCTCCTATCTCCTCATCATCGCTACTTTCCCGTTCTCACTATGCATGTGCATCAAGGTAAGTGTGAATTTTATGTTGTTGTTTTAAGAAGATTTTTATTTGTATTTTTTTTTTTTTTTTTTTTGGGGGGGGAGGGTTAAACAAAGGGGAATATAGGGGAGAAACCATACAAAGGGGGATATAAGAAGACGGATAAGGGGAAATATTAGAAGAACAAGCAAAGGGGAAAAGGGGGAAGGGGGTGAGCAGAAGGAAAAGGGTAAATGAGGGTATTTCAGGTACATGAGGAAGACAGAAGGATCTCATCCATTGAAATAAAAGGTTATTGTTATGGGATTTCACTTCATTACGTTGCATTGGATATTGCATATTCTTTTTTCCGGTGCTCATGGATTGGGAAAAGGGAATATAGGTTTATTGTTGAACATTTTTTTTTCTAAAATGAATCGACTTTTGATGAATAGAGAGCGCCTAGTTATTATGCAGATTACGCTAATTAGGATCTGAAAATATTCAAGTTCGAACTGGCTACAACTATTTTTTTCGGGGGGGGGTACAGGTTAGTGCTATGTCTTATGTTAGAAATAGTATTATATCCAATAGAATAAAGTATTTAAGGGAAAGTTATAGATGATTGGAACGATGAAGATCAAGTAGATAAGCCGATATACTGTGCATTTATTCCGATTTAATAAAAGTCTACGGGATAACAACTCACATTTAACAACAAACTTTTTTGAGGGAAACGCGAGCACATATTGTTATAGTTAA